CATGTAGCAATTTAAAAACATCGACAACTTTTTTTTCATTCTTGGCACAGTTCAGTCATTTTGGTTCTATATATCGGGACTGTGCCTTCACAGTTTGTTCACAAGCAGGGCCTAAGCTTCTCCAACATGCAGTATTTACCCTCTCGATTCAGAGGTGGAAAACCTGTGGGATTGATGACAATGGGGATTAAAGCTTTGGCACTTTTGGTATGACTTGCCGAAGAAGAAAGGCTGCTGAATCCCAGGGCCCTGAGAAATGGCCTGTTGAGATCCTGGCAGGTGTGCCTGCCCACCAGCTTTCTTCCAGCCTTCACTTGAAATTCTGCAGCTCCCCTACACACCTGCCCCACGTACTTGTGTCTGAGATTAACCATTTTGTATCTGCGTTTGCTTAAATTTCCAATTGAGTTTGTACTAACATGCTGAATTGTAAACAGGCACAGCTGAGATGCAGGTACACATTTCTTTCAGTATCCCAGTTACATGTGTAGCAACCTCCAGCGTAAGGGATGGACAGATGGACAGGAGCAGTACTGTCTTAAACTACGCAAGATTTTAGCCACAATCTTCTTCACTTACTTATATTCCCTTCACTAACAAATCTTGTATTACTTCATGGGGAAAAGTTGTTCCTAATATTGTATTCTAAAAGTGATTGAATTGTGCTGCTGACTCCATTTTGATAGCAGATGCAATGATGTGTCATACTGTTTGTGAAACACAAAATCTTCTGGATAGCAATACTTTATTCGGGAACTGGTGCATTTCCGTATTGTATTCCTATGAATGAAATGGCTCATTGTACATGAATTTATTAATACAAGTCACTTCAGAGGTGATAACTCTGATAATTTTATTACAGTCACTTGAATACAACCCAGCTAAAAGCCAAGAAGTTGAGTTCCTTGGGAACTGTTAACCAAAATAAATGCTGTGCTGTCTCTATCATGATACAGCAGTGTTTCCTCATGACCACAGCACCCACTTCTTTCTGGGATTTGTGTTGGTGCTTCATTCTGAGAGAGACAATCCAAACAGAGGGGTCCAGTCAACAGGACGGGAAAAATAAAGAAGTATTTATTTCCATGAAGTGCTGCAGAATGAAAATAGTTTAACACTTACATGGTACTTCTTGTTCAACAAAAAGAACATAAAAAGTCAATACATTGAATTTTTGATGTATTTGAGATGAAAACCAATGTCAAAATAGTGAAACTTCCCACAACTGGGAACCAAGATTTTAATTCCACTCGGTATTTAATTCTGTGTACGCCTCCACTCTCTGGTCCAATTGGGGCAGCAGGGAGAGGTGGAGGGGTGCATTTTTACTTCTCTTTACTTTACTTTATTGTTTCCCTAAATTGCTAGCCTCTGTCTGTGAAGACTTGTTACATTCTGCTTAGCCAGCTTTAACCTACTGCTGCATGCTAGACCATCATTTCTGTGTATACAGTCTCTTATGTCGTCTTTGCACCTGAATGCATTTCACGTACCCTGCAACACTGTGTATTCTGATTTTGTAGTATCAGTTTCTAGGGGGAAATGTGTTGCTCTGTACAAATGCAATTCCTGCCCTTACACCCAGAACTGACAACTTTCCCTGTGCCACGCTTGCAGAAGTGGCATGCCAAAGGAGTAAGCCTGTGGTCTTTAAAGAAACCAATTTCCACCACTTGAGTCATTATGCCGGACCAAAAAATTTCTTACTGTGTAGGTACATGCTTGAAAAAATGGGTATTTTCATAGGAAACATGGGAAATTCCTCTGGAAATATGTAGAAGTTACTTTCTCTACAGCTGTTCCCTTATGTAGCACTTGCTGATCCTTCCAAACAAGACATTAATACTATCCAACTCATTAAATGTAAAATTGAAATTATTGCATGAAGTTGTACACCTTAGATAGATGTAGAGATTCAGATAGATACCAAGGGAGATTTACAAAAGGACCTAGGTACCTCTTGATCCATCTGGGAATCAGATCCTTGTGATATTTACAGAGATTATATTTGACGTGACAGTCAAGTCTCACAAAGTTTCCTTTTATCAGACAAGTGTTACTGTTTCTCACCTCTTAGAGATGTGGGAGTAGGAGAGCTGATCCAAATGGAGCCTCCTTTCTTCAGCTCAGTTTGGCTACTTCTTAGCTTTAGTAACTTATTTCTTTTAGATTTCCATCAGCAGTTTAGGCCTCAGGTAAATTCTTTAATCTTCTGTTAAGCCAATATTTATTTAACTTGCTGTAGACAAACTTTAAATTCCAAGCCTTTTCAAAGTATGTATTCTTTGGAAGAGGTCTCAAATGTCTGCATAACTTCACCTATCATCTCGTGAATAATGTGTGCTGTTAAGAATATCAACTTGATAGTGATGATTTAATTATTGAGTTGGAATGTCAAAAAGAAAATAATAACTTTCTTTTTCCTAAAAAGACAGCTTGAAATATTATATTGATGAAATTCTTGTTTTATTCTACCGACTGATGTTTTGTATTTAATCTTTTTATGCTCTGTGCAAGTAAGCAAAAGTTCCTTCTGTTCTTTTACATTAAAAAGAGTTGGTGGATTGCAGACTTCATAATAGAATAAATGTGTTTAAGGGCAAAATATTTGGGATTAGAACTTTCCAGCAAGCAAAGTTTGGCATTCTAGCATTTTTCTGAGTTAGCTCTTCAGGCTTGTAAGAGAGTAGTTGTAATCTTTGCTGTGGAGTGCAAAATGTTGCACTCATACACCCATTTCCCATGTTTGCTTGTGGTTACAATTGTGAGACTGAAACTTCTGCTACCTTGTACACATTAGGAGAAGGAGACTATGCCTGTTGGAAGTGAATACAAATAAATTTATTTGAGGGAAGGGGTGGGGATTGTTGATGATGAACATGAATTATGCTTGCAGTGGATTTATACTGTCTTCAAAAATGAGTACTGCTTTATAGTTAATTTAAATGACACTCCACTTGTTAATGCTTCTTTTATCAAGCACTTTCCTCTTACCAGCACATTTGAGTTGCAGAGTCAATGCACTTGCTAACTTTTTTTCATTTCCAAAACCAATAGCGCTTGGCTTTCGTAAGACTAAAGATAAAGAGGATTACTTATTAGTTAGGAAGAAGTCTCTGGAGATGCATATGTATGCATTTTATGTGTGTATGTGAGCATACCTATATAAATGTATAAAAAAATATATGCACATAGTCAGATAGTCAGAGCTTAGCATATTAAAAAAGTGTATTCCCCATTGATTTAATGATATATTTTGCTACTGGTCCAGGTAAAGTTATTTACAGTTGAGCATTATGAGCGTTCTGGAAAGATGGCAAATGTTCAGTCCCCATTAGCTGGAACTACTTTTTGTCATATAAGTCCTCCTTTACTTTCCAAACCACAATCAAAATAAAATTCAAATTCCGCTGATTTTTCTGAACAGTCTGAATATACAGCTTTCACAGTTTAGTTATTTCCAGAACACCTTTAAATAGAAATCAAAACCAGTAACGAGATGTACTACAGGAGACTGCGTAACACACTGCAGGGCATATGTACTGCAACCTGCCTGACACAGCATTATGCAATCCTACCCTGCATTTTAGTAGATTAAGAGGGTACTTTCAAGTGCAAAACTTAAAATGTTATGTAAAATTTTATTGGTATATGGCCTTGTCCCCTAAAGATTAGCCAAATCTGAATTGAAGATGTGAAATTGCAGATATTTACAACATTCCTTGCTCAGCAAAAGAATGGCAGCATTCTCAGCCATATTCAAATGCTCTTAAAGAATCTGACAACTTTGAAGTGGTCAGGTAGACTTTATGTGTTTGAAAAATCATAAAGATCCAATTTTCAGTTTTAAAAATAGTTATTTCTTTAAACTATATAAATACATTTGAGCTTATGCTTCTGTCAGTCATCAAAAATGCAAAGGAGTAACACCTTCAGCTAAAACATTGCAGTGGGAATGGGAAATAAATCTTTAAGAAGGCTGGTTGTTACAATCAATACCCAAGCAGTTTAGGTGACAGGTACCCACTATCTAGTTGATACAAATGATTTTTTGTTTTATATTGGGTTTTGCTAATTCCTTTGCTTCCTGCCTGTGGAACTATTGGTTGAAGCGGTCCACTGGGGACATGTCTACCGTTCATACAATCTCCGTGACTGCTATGGATGTAATGAGTTTTTTTCCTGTTTCATAGTTCTTGTAGTCATTCCCCTGACCATGGGCTCAATGAGCACATTCAGACTCCTTATGAAAAACAGCTCTGCCAGCTGAATGGCAGGAAGCTGATGAGTTTATTTGCCAGACTTCTCTGGATGTATAAACCAGTTGCTGCAGCTCTAAAAATGATATGACTGGTGCAGTAGTGATTTTCTGCACTGAAGGTGGATGCCGGCAGGAGTTATGTACTGCAGGTATTTTAGTGAACTCTGAAAAGACCACGCTCTAATACAATACTCCCAAACATTTCTGCTAGCCTGTGATTTTCTGTCCATCATTATCTTCTGTAGAATTCTATCTGTGAGAAACCGGTTTATATGACTGTGCTTTACTGTGTAACAAGGAATTGTTTTCCCTTGTATTATTTAATGCATTGTGGCTCTAAAGCATACCTCAGTTTCCTGCATTTATTTGTTATATGCAATGGGGAAGAGCATGAGGGGCACAGAAAGCGTGTGTGCCCTGTGCCCACTAAGGTTAGGACTGAACTGAAAATCTATTGTGCCAATTAGCGACTACTTACACAGCTGCCTAGCTGGGTCTCTTTTCATTCTGACTGTTCTCTGTAATTTCTAACACTGCCAAGGGGAAACATATGGGGTTTTTTTTATTGGTCACTAGCTATTCTGTGATGGGTTTCAAAATGGTACACTGCAGTATTAATAGCTTTTCTCTGAAAACAGTACATGCTCCCTGAAATTGAAGAGTAAGCCTCTCGTAGTCACTCTAGTACAAACACCTCGTGAGAAATGCTCCCTTTAAAAGGTGTTTTGCTCTCGTTCAGTGTTTGTCAGGTTCAACTCCAGCCATGGCTTCCCGGTGGAGGTTGGTTCGGACGCCAGCATCCTCCAGCTGAAGGAGGCGGTTGCCCAGCGACAGGGAATTCCAGCTGACCAGCTGCGGGTGATTTTTGCAGGGAGGGAGCTCAGCAATGACTTGACACTGCAGGTAAGTCTCCCTTGGTAGCTTCGCTTCTGGACTGCTGCCAGCTACACTGCCTCTGCCTCTAATGCTGCCAATCTGACATTCATGCCTGAGATCTAATAGAATAAATAGTGCCTGGGGATTCCTTGAACTTTACTCCACACTGCTTCATTAATTCTGACCTTCTTAATTATGCGTTAAAACAGCAAGCAGGAAGGATAGGGGAAGAGAGAGGATACGAGAGAGAGAGCACGAGAGAGCACAAGAGAGCGAGCTGTGCCTAGTGAAAAAATGTTTACTGACTACAGAAGCAAGCCATGCACAATTTCTGTATCTGTTCAATTTCTATCTTACTTATTCCATTTGAATCTTAATGACGAAGGATGTGAATAAATTGCTCTAAATCAGGTTGCACAGTCATCACATTTTATAGAATTTGTAACCCAATTGTGACCCCTGGAGGATAGCTACAGGGCTGCTGCTGCTCTGTGTGCTGCTGCGCGTGTGCACAGGTGGATGTGCTGCTGGAAGGATGATTCCAGATCAGAAAGCCCAACAGAAGTGTACTCCAAACCACTGAACTCATAAACGGGTGAAGCTAAGAGAGTAGCAGGGAGCACGGAAGAAAAGTTAGCTAACTGTTCTCTTCAATAAATGCAGAGGGCTGTTCATCTGTGGTGAGCGGTAGTAAGCATGTAAAGATAGGTTCAACTTTTTCTGCCTTGTTGTCTTTGCTACCATTACCATTGCTGCCGCAGTTGCTTTATAAATATTTTTGTTTATCCTGTATATGCATTTGGCAGTTCACTTGGATAGCCAGGGCTTAGCATAAGATCACACATTTAAGACATTTGGGGAACTTGGGGAAACCTACTGGCCTTTCGACAGAGTGCAAATACTGATTTAATAAATTGCTGTCCTTCTGCGGTGGTATCAAAGAACAGCAGATGCAATCTCTAGTAGTGCAGGTGATTATATAAAAGATACCTCGCAGGCAGAACTATTTCAGATTAATTGGCACTCATATTTCAGAAGTGTTGCTGTACTTAGAATGGCTGCTAAACCTGGGTACAGAAAGTCACTGCTGTATTGATGACCTATCACTGTTTCTCCTTGGGTATGATATTTATTGCTTTGCAAAGGGTTTTAGGGAGTTTCAGCACACAAAGGAACGTATAGAAATCCGAATTGTTGTCAGTCTCCAATGTATCACCTGCGGATAGTGTTGATGCATATATTCACGGCATAAACAGAAATTATGTGCTTCACTTACTTATATGTGAAAACACATATATGAAAATGTAAGAATAAAAAAAAAAAAAAAGTGAATTGTAGAAATTGTCAGTTGCCAGTTGCTAGATTTGGGTGTCTGTGTTGTTCTGTCAGAGGATTCTGAACCACTTAGCATTTCCTGGGAAGCTGTAGGTATTGGCGTTACTGCCATTTTACGTCAGCATGAAACACAGATTTTGAGCCCAGTTTTACACTTGCAACCAAGTTTGTTGTCAGCTGCAACATACAATCTGTTGCCAGGGTAAATTAAAAATTGCTTTCCAAATATACAGGCCTGCTGATGACTCAATTTATTTCATTGGAATGTCAGAATTACCATGTGTAGTCAAGGCTTTTTATTATTTAATAAACTGGACTAGTCAAAAGCTTTGAGACAGCTTCTAAAGCAGATAGGAAGTTCAAAAGCTGTTTCAGACGGTATAACCCATACTTCTGTATTTAAGTGTCTTAAATATTGCAATGATTAATATCATCAATGGTGTATCAACTACATTTTTATTCTTGATGTTTAATTAAGTGTATTTTACTCTGCTTCTGTGTTAGCAGTTTTTTCTGTCATATATTTGTGTATGTGTATTTATTTATTGTGGAAATTTGTCAGCACAAGAAGAACAGTTGAGGTTTTGAGGTGTTTGAGTTCCTATGGTAGGCTGTTCGGGGCTTTCTGCATAAGAAGCTGAATGCTAGTAAAATTTGAGTGCTAGTGAAATACTAATTGCTGGCATTTATGTTGCATCTGTAATTTCAGAGTTAACATCACATACGAGCAAATTAACTAGCTCTTGTTTTCTAGACCTACGGATTTGCACACAGAATAAGAAAAATACAACATAGACTTGTACTCAGCTGATGCTTTTAAGTTATTTTATTTTATGGTAACATAGAATTTCTAGTAAGACCATTTTGTCCTTCTATTTTTCGTAAATTACTTTTGAGCTTATTTGCCCAAGATTCTGTGGGAGAATCTAGAGGTCAGGAAGGAGAACTGATAGTATTACAGATAATGAGATTATAGAGGACATGGGAAAAGCTGCGGTAATTGCAGGAGTAGGGGGCAGGGGTATAGGAAATACTCCAGGATAGCAAACTTTATTGGTTTCACAGCTCACAGAACAACTAGATTTGGCTTGACAGCTACTTTAGGATCTCGGGCAGCTGATACAAAACATAACTGAGAATGTGAAAACTGCGTTTGTTTTCCTGTTTGGAGAGAAGGAAAAATCTTTCATGATAGCTGAAACCTGTAAAAAAGAAATGAAGCCGGAATGAACAAACATTAAAAAGAAATTATTATAAGAAAGAAAGTGCCAAGTTGAGATCTTAAGTAATTTTATATCAACAACAACAGTAAAAAATTGTAGGAAGGATAGAAGTGAAATATGTGTGGAGACATTTAATTTGGCACCTCAGATAAGTGTTTTGTCCTTGGAAAAAAAAGAGGAAGATTAGACACTGATTCAACTGTGCACGGGGGAGATCAGTATCTTAGCTAATGACTAAGGGGCAAGTAGTGAAATTAGAGCCATGGTAAGAAAATACTGATAATGACTGGGTGAAGAATGAGACCTGCAAAATTTGTATCTCATAAGAAGCAATTAGAGCAATAAGCTGCTTCCTAAAAGCACAGCAAATGGTGTCACTTTAAGGGTGCTAAATATTCCAGAGGATGATGAAGAGCTCCCTGCTGATTACAGTTCACTTTGGAATGAATAGAAGTAATTAATTAATATATACCCGAAATAGGAATTCTTTCAGAAGGCTGTCATGAGTATATGAGAACAGTGGTAAGATCTTCTCGTGGCAATCATAAGGACGAAAAAAGAACAGAAATGTAACAGTCACCAAAGGAATAAACAGGAGGTAGCTGCGTATCAGGAACATTGAAGTGTTGTAACTGGAGATGACTGCTTACAACAATATTGTCCTTGCCTCCAAGAAGGGCAAAATTAGTTAACGAGCCTTCTGGAAGCAAAATATGTACTATTTTTTGATACACAATTTTGCTCAATGCAAACAATTTGAAATTTACTACCGGTAATAGAAGCAGTATTATATTAGTACAGGCTTGCCCTTTCTTGGAGAACTCAAAATCCCCTTGTGTGAAGAAGCACTTTGCAAACAGTTTGTAAGAGAGATTCTCTGCCTTGCAGAGCTTACAGTGTAAATGAACAAGGCAGACAAATGATGTGACGGGAATCAGTAGCCCGGCTTGTTCACAGTTAGTAGCAAAACAGGGATAGAATTAAGTCTTCTGTTTCCCAATCCAGTACCATTTCTTTTTGATAGTGTTTCCTCTATGAGGTAAATGTAGAAAATACAGTTCTTTAAAACAGAAAAAGACTAAGCGTGTGATTAGTAGCAGGACTTGTTAGCTTTAGCGCAGTGCTCCACTGAGACAGTTTCTAAATCAGTTAGCTTGCATTTGACTGGAGCATAGGCTCGAGGTTTGGAGCATAGGCTTCACATGAATTTGGCTTTGACTGCATCCATCCATATAGGTGCTTTCCTAAAATTATTTATACATACATTCAAGAAACAAACAAACATGACTAGAAGTATTGTTAAACACTGGTGTGTGAGCTGATGAGCATAAGCGAAAATGAGTAAAAAGGAATGGCGTAACTAGAGTAGCAACATAGATGATCATCTCTACAGAAGAGGGAAAAGATAAGTGGTAGGGGAGAAATGGTGCTATAAGTCATAGAATCATAGAATCATAGAATCATTAAGGTTGGAAAAGACCTCTAACATCATCGAGTCCAACCGTCGACCCAACACCACCATGCCCACTTAACCATGTCCCTAAGCGCCCCATCTACACGTCTTTTAAATACTTCCAGGGATGGTGACTCAACCACTTCCCTGGGCAGTCTGTTCCAATGTTTAACCACTCTTTCACTAAAGACATTT